AGTGGTACAATTCTTACGCAGTCATGCAACTAAGCAAAAGCTGAAAAACTCTTAAAGGGTGGAAGTGTAGTATTTCTTACACAGCAACACTTTACATTAAATGTAAAATATGAAATAAACGCTCATACAACTTAACGTTTACAAAAAAAAAAAAAAAAAGAAACAAGAATTTATTTAATACGATGTCGTGCGTGGTCGAATGTGTGCAGTAGCTTGATTGGCTCAATTGGTATAAGTTGAACTCTGACTGTTGGGGAATGTAGGGTTTTCATAACTTCAAGTCAATTTCAACAAATATACACATAAGCAAACAAACACATGTTGTAACTCTGCATGATGCTTCACATATTGTAAAACTTTTTGCTGGAAAGAAGTTTTTGTTCTACTAAAGATTCCTAAAAGGAAGTTGGCTGCCAACAATATTTTTTTTTTTTCATCTTTAAATTAACCATATTAAAAGCTATTCGTTACTTAAACAAGCAGAAAAAGTGGATTGTAATAATCGTCACAACTAGCACCAGAAATAGAGTTTTTAGAATTTTAGCAACTATATCATCACAACGGTCACACACAATATTTCTATTAGCCAACCTGCCTGCCTGGCTGGCTGGCTGCTTGACTGTTGTCCACATTTTCCGGATACTTTTAGTTTTGTTTTATAAAAGCGGATTTGTTTGAGACATCAATGTATTATGACTTTGTCTGTAACATGTTCTCATCATTTTTAAAAACTAAATGTTTTTCCTTTAACCAGCTTTGTCGTTAGTTTCTTTTAACTGTGCCATCATCTTGGCAATTCATTTAAAATGGTGTTCCTTGAATCTTCTCTTTTATGAAGTTGGTAAATAATTTAATTTTAGTTTTTTTTTTACAACTTTCTTTGTTGTGATTCTTGCTGTTGCTGTTGTAATGACCCAATCACAAAAGGAAACTGGAACGGATTTTTATATTTCAAGAAGAAAACAGAGTTAGTAATGGGGAACAAAATCTTTAGAAAATTCTAGTTCAAAGCCTTTCTAAAATGACTATGTTTGTTAAAGTCGTTAAAAAAAGTGTTACAAATTAATTGAATTAATTAAACTAATTTATTATGACTTGTTCGGGTCAATTTAGGTTTCCTAGGAGTTTTCATTTAAATTATGAAAACTCCTAGGATTATGGATATTAGTACCTCCAGTTTGCCGAGACTATAAGCTAGCGAAATCATATGTGGTCTGGCCAGACAACATAACTAGTCTGGAGCTACGGGAATCGGTGTCCGCATTTCATTGTTTAGGACTTTGTCGTCGTGCTAGAAATCCAAATCGCGAGAAGAGAATGTTGGTTTAAAGATTTCGGCATAAGTTCAGTGCCGTTGTCGAGGCAACATAACATCTCAGAGGTTATAATGAAGTTTAAATTCTCTCCGACTCTTGTTAAATTTATGAAGCGCCCATTACCTTGTTGTTAATGCAATAAGTTAAAGTCTCCTCGTCTAAAGTGGAGTCTGAGCTTACCGATCTCCAGCAAAATTCAAAAGTTTTTTTAGTTATATCAAATAGGTATAAATTTAGGTTATGCGACCGACAGATGACGATACACATTAAGCGAATCCAACAGTGAAATGTAGAAAGGCATAGAATGTACGACAACCCTTCAGATCTCAAAATTTGTTTTGTTGATCACAACAAAAAAGAGGCGCACTTAGACTGTCTCGAATTACGACGTTAAAATTCAACAAAATTCCCCAATAATATTGTCCCCACTATAAACGGGAACGAATCCCTATAGTACACCCATCGAACATGTGTAAAATGTTTGAACGGAATGTTTAGTAAAGCATTCGTCGTCACAGTTTCAATTGAAATTGAACGAAGAGTAGGTACTACGAGTACTACTATAGGCATCAGGCATGGAGAATTGAAATCTTGAAATAATATTAATAAAAATTAAAACCTTTTGGGTTTTAAAGTTCTAAATTAATTTAGCTCTAAACTATAGACTATATTATAGACTATAGATTAGACTATAGTCTAGACTATAGAATAGACTATGGACCGCACTACAGACTGGAGTATACAATCGACTATTAGACAATAGACCAGACCAATAGATTATAAACGACACTATAGATTAGTCTTTAGACCAGACTACAAACTAGAATATAGACTAGTCTTTAGACTAGACTACAAACTAGACTATAGACTAGTCTTTAGACCAGTACCGCAATTCAGTAACTTTTTAACTACAAAATTTTGTCGTTAAATAGTATAAATTCGTAAGTTAAGAATAATTGTCGTTATGTGGTATTCTGAATTTTATTTCTCCGATTTTTTTTCGTTAAACAAAATCATTAGTTAACGAAAAGTATCGGCAATGTAACGACAAATAAAAAGTTCACGTTAATAATTTTATATTTTAAAAATATTTCAATACAAAACTTTTGACATTCTCATATTTTTCCGACATTTGTCGTTAAAATATTCTAAGTTCGTTAAAAAGTTACAGAATTGAAAATTCGTTAATGCAACCGATGTTTGTCGTTACTTTACGATATCGGTAGTTAAAATTATAAAATTACAGAATTGCGGTACAGACTACAAACTAGACTATAGACTAGACTATAGACTAGACCAGCGGTTCCCACCGATTTTTACTTCGCGGACCCCTTGAAGAACTTATTTAATTTCGCGGACCCCCATACATATTTTGATATTCTATTGTTCTAAATAATTGTCCATCCGAAAATTGACCTAGTCCATTAATCCCTAGGTCTAATAAATGTAGAGATGTCATATCTATAAAATATTCCCGTACATTGAGAATACATAATATTTCAGAAAGGTTTTCAATTGTATGTTTTGAAGATAGAATGACTTCTTTGTTGATATGTTTCATGATGTTTCATTTTATGATCGTGAGATCTTTCATGTTCATTTTTCTTCAAGGTAGCGAAAAGGTTTCTTTATCAAATATTGTCACATGTGCTTAAGGAGTCACGTTTCAAAAGTTTGTTGCGATTGCAAAGGGTGAACTGAGTAAGTGAGCTAAGTTTTCGGGAAAATAATATAAGAAAGTTGGACTTCTTCTATGTAGTTGCGGAATGCGTTATCCGCATAATATATGATTTGAACTCTTTGTTAAAGTACTGTGAATTTGGAACTTAAATTTGAATTTTAAAATACCAACGAATTATTTTACTTCATGGTTTTTGGCTACATATTTACGCGAAACGCTATGGATTTTCTGATGTTAATTTAATAATATGTATTGGTCGACAAAATCAAGTTAAAATCTGTGTATCACTTCGGATTGGAATATTTATAAAGAGATGCATAAAGAGTCACCTCTGTTTTGAAAATATATAATTTTAGTCCCTTCAAACGAGAACACTTTTGCTTACAATTTGATAAACTTAAATCTGTAATGAGCTTGTCTTTGAATTGAACTTCATACTCCGGAATACCAGTATCCCTAATTTAATTGTAAGGCAGAGTATTATTTGTCTGAAATAAAAACTATTATTTCAGTAGATATACAGGAAATAAAAATTACAAATCACGCAATACTTTACTTTATGAAAGTTATACAATAAATTTGTAGGGCCTAGCTTCTTCCTGATAAACAACCGAAAAAATAAAATTCAAAAAGTCACCAAAAAATTTGGGATTATTGCACAAAAATTGGAGATATTTGTACATACATATAAAAGAATATTGTCTATTCATGTTTTTTTCGTTCGTCTTCGCGGACCCCCTAGGATTTTACTACGGACCACTAGGGGTCCGCGGACCCCCATTTGGGAACCGTTGGACTAGACTATAGACTAGACTATAGACTAGATTATAGACTAGACTATAGACTAGACTATAGACTAGACTATAGACTAGAACTCTAGACTGTAGACTAGACTATAGACTAGACTATAGAATAGACATAGCCTAGACTATAGACTAAGACTATAGACTAAGACTAATAGACTAGACTATAGACTATACTATAGGCTAGACTATTGCTAGACCTTATACTAGACTATAAGACTAGACTATAGGCTAGACTTGGACTAACTAAGACTAGACTATCTATAAGAACTAGACAGACTATAGACTATCTTAGACTAGACTAGAACTAGAACTATAGACTAGATGACTATAGACTGACTATACTAAGAACTAGACTAGACATTAGACCTAGACTCTAGACTAGACTATAGAACTGACTATAGACTATAACTATAGACTAGACTTAGACTATACTATAGACTAGACTATAGACGACTATATCTAGACTTGACTAGACTATAGACTAGACTATAGACTAACTAGACTAGACTATAGACTAGACTATAGACTAGACTATAGACTAGACTATAGACTAGACTAGACTAGACTATAGATTAGACTATAGACTAGACTATATACTAGACTATAGACTACACTATAGTCTAGACTATAAACTAGACTATAGATTCGAATATAGGTCCGACTAAACTATGGATTATACTATAGGCTGGAATATATACTGGACTACACACTAGTTTAGAGCCTAGTCTATAGACTAGATTATACTCCAGACTATAGACTAGATTATAGACCACACTACAGACAAAACTATATAATAGAATATAGAATAGATTATAGAATATTAGACTATAGACTAGACTATAGATCACACTATAGACCAGATTATACACCAGACTACGGACTAGACTATATTATATAGTATTGACTAGATTATAGACTAGACTATAAAATAAAGCACTTATCAAAAGTTTTGAAGTTAGAAAAGTTTCCGAAATGTCTTGTCTTGGGGCGTTGTTTTTCGATATCAAAAAGTACTTAACTACTTAATTGTCCATGCCTGCAAACACTTTATATATCTTTCTTTCTACACTTCTCTGAATTCCCACTCTGCCCAGCCAGAGTTTTCTTGTCGTTCCGTTCAGTTCAAAACGATTTCTGTCTAGTGATTTTCTTACGACTTACGACCGCACAGTCGTCGTCGCTAATTTGTTGTGTTGGTTTGTTTGTTTGCTGGTCTCTTCTTTCTCTTCTCATACACGAAAACCAAAAACAAAACAGAAGAAAACGAAAAAAAAAAAAACACGCACAAACACACTCTCACAGTTACGCCGTTGCCGCCGCACACACAACCAGAATTATCGGCTTCACTTTGTTGTGTTTTCGACATTTGTTGCCAGTCGATTGTAAGCCGCCGATGACGTCGGTTTGGTGAGAGAAAATAAAGAAGAAAAAAATAAAATAAATAGAAAAGTTATGATTAATTTATAAAGAAAAGTAGATTTTTTTTATATTATTTTTTGAGTTTTAAAATATATTTATACTATAAAAATAGTGGCTAACAGTGAACAGTTTTTTTTTCTTAAATAACGGAAAAGAAATAAAAAAATATTAAACGCGTTTTAAGTTGTTACAATAAATAAAAGTGTTATTTATATTCTATGACAAACTGCAACAAGAACTTTTTATGTTTATTAAGCATTGCTATTGCATCCATTTACTTAACTAATTGGAGTCTTCTGATGGCTGATAACTAAATAAATAAATATTTATTATAAAGTTATTTTATAACAGTTATAAAGGATGAAAATAGAAAAAGTATGCAACAACAACAATAGATATTTTCAATTAGTTGTTTTTGGTATGATAAACATCAATTAACACGAATCAACAATATTTGACAGATAACGTTAAAGTTTAAATAAATAATAGCATAAACAAACAAAACAACAACAACAAACACACATACTCATTTAAAGTGTCAGTGCTGAGTTTATTTATAAGTTAAGCAACAAAATAATAAATAATAAAACTAAACGAAACGAAAAAAAAGAAAATATTTTTAATTTTCTATGGAATGATAAACGGAAATACCAAAGTAACAACAACAACAACAACAGCAATAATCAGGCAGCCACAACAAATCTACAAAATAAACACGAATCCAAAAGCAAACAAAATAAAAATATAATTTCAAAAAACTCAAACAAAAACAAAAAAAGCAACAAGAGAAAATTAAGAAATAAATAAAAACAAATACAAAGGGCAAATTGCATTGTAGAGAAGAGCCAAGATAAGCGAATTTAATAATAAAAAAGCAACAAAAACAACATCTAAAAGAAGACTAGTAGAAAGAAACAAAGCAAAATAACTTAAAACAAAAACAGACGGAAGTAATAATATATTTACACAACCAAAAAGTAATAAACATACACACAAACCTACAAAACAAAAACAAACACTAGAACAACAACAACAAAACACAACTCTCAGTGCATTTAATGAAAAAAAAAGAACACACTCTATAGAAAAAAGAGTAATAAAAACTACAAAAATATTAAAGGAAAACTAAAGTGCAAAAGCAATAAGCTGTAAAAAAGTAATAAAATCAACAACAATAAACTAAGGCATTTACAAAAGAAGAAGAAGAAGCAGCAACAGAAGAAAGAAACTAAAATAATTTAAAAACAAAACTCTCTTGCTCATTGCACTTCAAACAAAAATAAAGAGGAAACAAGAATGCTGAGTGGACATTAAACAAAAACAGCAAAATAGCAACAAATAAATAAAACAGTTTAATAAAATAAATAAAAAAACTAAAAAAAAGTGTTGCTGGCTGTTGTAAATAATTCAAACCGGAACTTTTTCCTCACTACTTCTAAAATAAAAGACACATTTGTTTGTGTTTTAAGAAAAGAGATTAGCAAAAGCCGCCACCTTTAGTTGTGTTAAAAGAGTTTTAACTTAGAAAGGCTGGTCTGGGGGCATTTGAATATCATCATCATCATCATCATCATTACTAACTTCAACAACAACAGTGTGAAATTGATTAACATTTCCCACTCGAAACATTTCTTTCTTCTTCCTTCAACAATATTTCCGTGTTTGTTTGGCTTCACTGGCAACTAATGACAGTTCTTGCTGGATGATCATCATCGTAGTTTGAAATAAAACGTTTTTTTTTATTTGAAAAGAAAAGCAGTAAACATTATCGGTAAGTAAATATGTATAAAATTTAATATCAGCTAAAAATACTCTATATATTCACTTATGTATGTACATTTAATTATTATTTTAATCACAAGTTTACTCTGTGATATTTAGTGTATAAGATTAAATATGGTTTAATTTTATTGTTTTAACTGTGTCTATGAAAACTTTTTTAAAATTTTCTTATTAACATCTTTCGAGAAAGTATTTGAACTTTGCATGATATCGTTCTGTTCTGAAAAATTACATCGAAAATTGGTTACTTTTGAACTAGATCGAATATAAGTTTCCATCGCACCGTCGTTTGATTGATGACATTACACCCCTGTTTAAAAAACATCAAAATTTCAACAAAAGTTTAAAATTTCGAAAAATTTTAAACTCCAATTCACTAGGACTTGGATTTCTTTGTATTCTAGAATCTGTATTAAGACTATTTCACAACCTAAACCGAAATAAAAAGCTGGATGTGCTTTAAAATTTCGGAAACGGCGAGTTATACTAAAACAAATAAGCTCAATAAGGCATCTGAAGGTTGGATATTTTCCGAATCTGAAGTAAGAAGTTCCTAATTTCAGCATTCTCATCATGACAACGGGAATTTATAATTGAAACATTGAAGAGTGATAAGGCGAAAGCTTTTTCCCCCGAAAAGAACTATGGATCACAGTAGAACTGTTGCAACAACAAACAGGGTGTCTGGATACATAATATTCACTAGTTCTGTGGGTTTTTGACATTCTGAAAACGGAAAATATGGAATCTGGCAAAACAACCTAAAGTTTTTTCCACAGAAAAGAACTATGGACCACAGTAGAGCTGTTACAACAACAACAACATGAACAGGGTGTCTGGTTGTATAAGATTCACTTGTATCTGTGGATTCTTGACATTCTGAAAACGGAAAATATGGAATCTGACAAAACAACCGAAAGTTTTTTCCCCAGAAAAGAGCTATGGACCACAGTAGAGCTGTTACAACAACAACACGAACAGGGTGTCTGGTTGTATAATATTCACTAGTTCTGTGGGTTCTTGACATTCTGAAAACGGAAAATATGGAATCTGGCAAAACAACCGAAAGTTTTTTTCCACAGAAAAGAACTATGGACCACAGTAGAGCTGTTACAACAACAACAACATGAACAGGGTGTCTGGTTGTATAAGATTCACTTGTATCTGTGGGTTCTTGACATTCTGAAAACGGAAAATATGGAATCTGACAAAACAACCTAAAGTTTCTTCCCCCGAAAAGAACTATGGACCACAGTATAACTGTTGCAACAACAACACGAAAAGGGTGTCTGGTTGTATAATATTCACTAGTTCTGTGGGTTCTTGACATTCTGAAAACGGAAAATTATATCGGAGTAGAGAGTTGGAGGTGCTTTAAAATTTCGGAAACGGTTAGTTATACTTAAACAAATAAGCTCAATGAGGCATTTGGAGTTTGGATAGACTTTGACTCTGAAGGTCCTCATTTTATTATTTTCATTATGAAAACTGGAATTTGGAATTGGAAGAATTAAGAGTATTTCGCTGCCTAAACAGGAATAAAAAGTTGAAGGCGCTTTAAAATATCGAAAAGAAGTAAGCTTAATCATCTGGAGGTGGGATAGTCTCCGACTCTGAGGTAACAAGGTAAACTGGAATTTGGTAGTGAAACATTGAAGAGTTATTAGATGCATTGTATTCTCCATAACCTAAAAGTTCCTTAATATTATACTGAAAAATGAGATGATCAAAATCATTAAATTATATCTTACTAACTATACATGGAACCATCGAATATTTAAATCCTTAAATGTATGAACATTTCCTGATATCTTGAGATGGCAAAGACTTTTTAATTCAGGAAAGAGTAAAAAATCATGCCTAAAACAAAGAACTCAAAAATACTGATACAGAATAATACTAGTATTACTAGTATTTTATCGAAAACTCGTGAGTGGAAAAAGGGGTTTTTGAAGTGTTTATGACGTTTTCTCGAACTTCAATAACAGTTAAGAAACTAATATTTAAACACATATTTGGATTATCTGAAATCATGAAATCAAGGAAGCACTTTCAAGTAGTATATACCAACAAAAAAATCCCCATAAATATTCAGTTGTGACGTTTTGCAAGCAAATGAGAATAAATCTACAAATATGTATATTTTCTAGTATTATAAAAAACAACAACAACAGAAAAATCTTATCTAAACAACAACTATTACAATTTCGTTATATTTATTAGCTTTACGAGCAAAACTAATGACAGTTCCTGCTTCTGGTACGAAGACGACGTTTAGTTCACAACATTTCTCAGTTGACCAAGTGCCTGACGTTTGGTTGGTTGGTTGTTTTTTTTTTTTTTTGTTATACTACGGATACGAAAATATTATTATATTAAACTTTATTCACATAGCTAGATAACGTCGCACCTGACGTTGTTGGTTTTTTTGTTTTTGTGTGTTTATACTACACATATTTCTATAAAGCCTTTTTAGTTGTCTATCTGACATTCTCCTCTAAATATTATAAGAACAAGCCCCCCTCGGTTTGCCCCCCAACACTCTCTTTACACTCACCACGGTGTTTTTTTTTTTTTTTTTCTTAGTAATTAATGATCTTATGAGTAAATTGTTATAGTGTGTTGTAGTTAGCTAAACAATTAGCAGCAAAATTGAGAAGGAAATAATATAATAATTACACTTAAAGAAATATATAAACAGTTATGAATAGATGGTTCGTAATCGAATTATATCTATCTTAAGGCTTTTTACAGAAATTCTGAACAATTTAGATTGATTTCGAATTATACTTAAAACTATTTTTGCTTAAAAAAAAGCTCTTTCGATCATGAGAGCTTTTTAGACAGCCGCTACATGATCATTTCTGCTATAGCAAGTTCAAAGAGTTATCTTTTTTTAAGGCTTTCGACAGAAAGTCTTAACAATATATTTCGATTTTGAAATTAAAAGTTCTGTTTGCTAAGAAAGCTTATTCAATCATGAAATTCTGACACTACATGATCATTTAGATTACAGCAATCTGAACAATTTATCTCCATTTCGAAATCAAACATTATTTTTGTTAAGAAAGCTCATTCAATAATGAGAGCGCTAATTCAGCTCCTGCATGATCATTCCAGCAAGTTAAAAGAGTTAACTATCTCGAGCTTAATCAGTCATGAGAGCTTTTATTCAGACAACTGCATAATCATTTCTTTTATAGCAAACATTCGTGATCGAGTTTAAAGCTTTCGACAAAAATTCTTAAAAATTTATTTCGATTAAGAAAGCTTATTTCATCATGAGTGCTTTAACACAGCCACTGCAGGATCATTTCTGCTATAGCAAATTAAAAAAGTGAATTATCGATCTGTATTATCGAGATCGAGTTAAATTAAGATTACAACAATGCTGAGAAGGCCTATTCTATCATAAGAGCGGTAACTCAGCTCTGGCATGATTATTTCTATCTCGTTAACTATCACGAGTTAAAGAATTAAGATTACAGCAATGCTGAGAAGGCCTATTCTATCATGATAGCGCTAACTCAGCTCTGACATGATCATTTCTATCTCGTTAACTATCACCAGTTAAAGAATTTGTAAACGATTTAAGAAATTCTTAACAATTCATCACGATTTCGAAATCAAAAATTAGTTTTTTGTTAAAAAAAGCTTAATCGATCATTAGAGCTTTAATTCAACCACTGCAAGATCATTTCTGCTATAGCAAGTTAAAAGAGTTGCAGCATCTGAGAGCGACTTTAAAACTTTCAAACGAAATTCTGAACTAGAAAGCTTATTCAATATTGAGAGCTTTAACACAGGCCCCGCAAGGTAATTTCTGCTATAGCAATTTAAAAGAGTTAAAAGATCGAGTTTAAAACTTCGAAAGAAATTCTAAACAAGAAAGCTCATTCAATCGTGAAAGCTCTAACACAGCCCCTGCAAGATCATTTCTGCTTTAGGAAGTTAAAAGTGTAATTTATCGATCTGCATTATTTGTAATTCGAAATAAAGTGTTCGTGATTAAGTTAAACTAAGATTAAAGCTTTCGATATTAATTCTGAACAATTTATCTTGATTAAGAAATCACAAGCAAGTTAAGAGAGTTATCAATGTTTATTATTTGTATTTCAGAAAGTTTTTTTTATCAGTGTATCTAGTTTTAATATTAATATTATTGCTCTCTTTACTCTCTGCTTTAGTTGTGTGTAGGTTAATCAACTACTCAAAAGAAAAGAAAAAAAACTAAAAAAAAGAGCCATCCATATGGCAAGTTTACGTTAAGCGATCGTTATAATTATCGAATCGTTGTGTTGCTGTTACTGCCGCTGCTACTACTGCTAAAGATTCTTAAAAGATATTCTAGATATTCTACATACATATATGAATGTTTATAGTTTGCTCGTAATAACGACGACGACGACTATACGATACGATATGATGATGATAATGATGATGAGAATAGGAATGATGAGGATTGTGAATCTATGACTATTTGTTTCTTAATACTATGGCTATGTATGAGTATCTTTAGGGAGGTGGGGAGGGGTGGTAACATGCTGTCTGTCTACTGTATTCCTCAAATATTATAATATGTATATATCTTTGTATGTGCATTTGTATATCTTCCCCATGCTAGTACTACGATGAGCACAAATGTACATTTTTGAAAAAAAAAACACACAAATTTACCACAAAAAGAGCACAAAAGTTAAGTAAATACAGAAAAAAAAAATAATATATATAAACGCGAATTTCACTTCCGCATTGCTCCACAAAAAATATACATATACAACAACAACAATAAAATAAAGACAAACGACTAACAACAACAACAGCTGAGAAATATTTATCGATACAAAACTTGTAAACGACTACAAGAAGCAAAAATAAAAAAAAAAGTTTAAATACTATACCCATACATATGTACATACACTCAGAGTCATACGTTGGACTAAAAAAAAATTGCTCACAATCAGTTAAGAATTACGGAATAGTAGGAAA